ATTTTAGAATCCCGAAATATCTACCCATCTTCCAAGCAAAATTCGTTGTTCCCCAACTTCCAAAACCATCGATAACCCTTCTCTGTCGTCACGAAAACATTTTTGTCCCATATTTGAAATAAAAACAGAAACAAGCGTTCTTTCCCCATTTTCAGAGCAGAAACATAGACATTTAATTAAGCAGCACAAAGCCGTTCTTCCCCTTCTCTGAAGGCAATACATTCATCTTCTTCGTTCTTCAAAAGGTGATCGAGATTAGAGTTTCACTTTATGCATAAAGATCCGATATTTGTTTGAATTTGTTTCGTTAGGATTCTATATGACAAATGATAAGTTAATAACTATCGATGTTTTTCAACCATATTGAATTGCAATGTAATTACGACTGAACTTTATAAAAATATTCATTTAAAATAAAAATAAAGAAACAAATATAAAATAGAATGACATCGATTAACAATTAATTAATACATATCTGTGAGAGTAAGACAACATAATTCCGATTATTAGGACTACCACGTTCAATATTTAATTCTGAAAAAGACAAAGATTCTTTTAATCATATGCCGATTAATAAGCAATAATAACTAATTACTGAATCATTCTACAAAAAGAAACGTATTTCATAATTGATTACATAAATACATATCTTGTCTTATATGCTACATTACAGGTCAAGATTTTATGAACATCCCTAATAAATAAATAAATAAATAAATAATGTAGGACACACACGCGCACACACACACATGTAGGACGGTATGTATAATGTACATATAAGTAATTGAAGTTGTTTATTGGTTTTTATGCATGCGTGCATGTTATGCACATGTGCATACCGGACAAATTGTTTACAAATGCACATGTGAATACTATCCAAATGAATAGTTACCAGTGGAAATCAAATAAAAACCATACATTATAAGTAATTGAAGTTGTTTATTGGTTTTTATGCATGCATGCATGTTATGCACATGTGCATACTGGACAAATTGTTTACAAATGCACGAACCCGAATCATACACACACACACACACACACACACACATATATATATATATATATATATATATATGACAAATCAAATAAAAACCATGGAAATGTTACAAATCATACAAACAAATCTCAACCGTCTATTAGTCTAACGAATATCTGGTTTCATAAGTATATCGATTGTTTCATAATATAAAGTGTTAATCATAATTAATGAACTTTAATCATCTTTTAAAAATATTAAAATCATAATAAATGAATTTTGATCATTTCCACATATATCTTAATTGATTCGTTCATATAGTTTATAAAATTTCCATGGTTTGTATTTAATTTCTCGTCTATACACTTATATATGTACCACATATATATATATAGAGGTTTAAACATGAAAACCAACTTTTTTTTATATTAAAATATGAGAACACTTTTATCACATGTGATAAAACGTGAACCGATAGTGTTGGAACAACTTGGCCCACGACCTTTGATTTAGTATCACGTGTGTATGATATGTGATGGATTACGATATGACATCGAGAACACCCTCATCAGATGTGATAATACATGTGGGGGGCCTAGTGGTGTGTGGGCGACTTCACATACAACCTTGGTTGTGCCAAAGGTTGTTAGCGTCTCTAATTTAGTATCACATGTGATTGACTATAGTAAAAAAATGTTTTTACGTTTTTGTAAAATGAAGATGTTCTCGTTTGAATATTTTCTCATATATATATGCATGTATGTATGCATGTATGCATGCATGCATGTATGACGATAATCAAATGAAGACTATAAAAAAATTGATGGCCATGAGGACTAGATCTCAATCATCCAATGGTTTTAATCAAATGTTATTAAAAACGATGACCTTTTTGTAATATTTGTAAAGGTCCTATCTAATCTTCTTTTTGTAATATTTGTGAAGGTCCTATCTAATCTCACATCTGTGTCACACCCATTGATGGATTTTCCGGTTATTATTATAAATTAAAATAAATATAAAAGTGTAGATTAATAAGCTTGTTAAACCATATAATAATTAATTAAATATAAAATAGCTACAAAAAGAAACGTTGCATTAAAAGAACTAAACGACAAAGCCGGCAATTTAGACTTCCATTTTATCCCATTATCGTCACTTCCGTTGGCTGCATGCACCTTCCTTCTCATCTCCTTCCTCGATCCTGCACCTTACCGCCCTTATAACTATCAACCTTCCATGGCTGCTTTCTTCACTCTCTTCGAATCACAACCATACCAACATGGAAGTCGCTTCCAAACCAACGGATAGTTTCGATTTCAGTTATTCATCATCATCATACTACACTAGCGCTCCATCCAGTCCCACTCGACTCACTGAGTTTTACTGTGGATTCGACGAGCTATTGCTCTCTGCCGCAGCCGCCGCCGGTGCCCACCGCAGCACTTCTCGTGCCACCGTCCCATTCGCCTGGGAGGAGAAACCCGGCGTTCCAAAGGGACCCACCAACTTATTTGGGGAAGACGATTTCTCATTTGATGTAAGTTGTGAGCTCAGCCGGGATTCAGTTCCGGCTGAAGATCTATTCCAGGGTGGCGTAATCAAGCCGCTCGGCCGTCAGCCGGAGAAAAAGGTAGAAAGAGAAAGAGGAAGAGAGAGATTTTCGTCTTCTGCTTTACCTTCGTCGAGGAGCAGAAGGACGAGATCTCTGTCGCCACTTGGGGGCTCGGATCAACGCCGACAACAACACTTAACGGCTACGTACATGGTGCCACCATCGGGCTCAACTTGTGCTACTCCTTCTGTATCTTTTTTGTCCGAAAATGGTTCAAAAAAATGGAGCTTTATGGACCTGTTTCTGTTCAGAAGTGCTTCAGATGGACGAGCAATGGACCGAGACCCTTTGAAGAAATACTCGGCCATCTTCCGAAAACATGATCAAGATATTAGGAACTCAAGTGGGTCTGGATCCATGTCGAAGAGAAAGGGTCGGGTATCGGCTCACGAACTCCATTACACGGTTAACCGAGCTGTTTCAAATGACATGAAGAAGAAAACATACTTGCCATATAAGCAAGGTATTCTCGGAAGATTTTCGTTCAACCCGTAAAGGAGATTTGCAAAACCGATTACTTCGATGGACAGCGACGATGGTGAACAATGTCGACCATAACGCTATCGCAAAATGGACGACGTTTAGTCTGTTTACATGTACATATAGTTTTTTTCAAGGATTGCGAACCCATGATATCAAGTATTATGTGGTCATATGGCTTGTTTTGCTATTAGCGTGAGTGATTCTTAATTCTTTTTGCGATATGAATTCAATAAATTACAAGTTCTTTCATTTTGTTTTGTGTTATTACTCAAAAAAATTCTCATCTCACATGATATCAGAGCAGAAGTTTTATTTAAACCTCTAAATATTTTAAAGAAAATATTACAAAACCAGAATATACAACATGCCAAAACACTTGGCATACGAAGATATATCACCATAACCAAGTATAAAGTGCATGTAACCTAAATAACAAGGGCAAACAAGAGATATAAAACTATGGGCGAAGGAGACAATCGAAAAGTCCATTGTATCCAAAACTTGTACAATGCTCGGAGATTGCGACAATTGGATAATCTAAGAGTCCGTTTGGTTTGTAGGAATGAAATGGATTTGGATTTCAAATCCATTTGAACTCCATGCATGTTCGGTTTGCATGATTGTTCGGATTTGACATAGATGCAGTGGTTATATATGTATATATATGTGTGTGTACACATATATATGGCCGTAATTTGAAGGCGACTTCAAGTCGATCATTTAGCATCTTCCATGGTTGCATTTCTAAGTCGTGGGCTACTTGAGCGACTTGCCAAGTTGCATTGGCGAAGGTGTAGAAAAATAGGGTTGAATGATATTTATTGATAGAGAATGAGTCTTAATTTGAATAATGCCACCGTAGAGAGAAGAAAAGATTTGATATAATAACGCTTGATTGGTTTGAGCTTGACTCCAGAGGTTAAAAGTAGCAGGAGGTTCCAGGTTCAAATCCAAGGAGGAATAAAAATCTACTTGTGACCACAGAGGTTCAAATGTGGTGACTCCAGGCTATCTGCAAAGCAGGTGGTCGCTCTGAGATTAATCAGTTCGCATAGCGGGTTGGATATCCAGGTTAATAAAAAAAAAAAGATTCGGTATAATAAATACCAAATATTCAAAAGTAATTATAGAGAATTATACAAGTCAAGTATGTAGCTAAGAAACTAAATAAAGTTGTGTCAAATGTAACACTTGATTTCTAATCTTAAGTAGAACGATACAAAATAATAATGAGGTTTAACTGGGAACAAAGTTAAAGTAAGAGAACATGAGAACGCCTATATAATATGTGATTCAGGAACGCTCAAACCTCCACTGTTACCGGGACTAGCACGCGCATGCACCTAGGTTTTCTTGACAACTTCTTTCCATTTTCTCTATGAGAGAGTTTCGATAATATTAATGAGAATAACTATTTTCTTGATATCTGCTAGGCTAACTTTAAAATACGTAGTAACTATTTTCTTGATATCTGCTAGGCTAACTTTAAAATACGTAGTACTTTGTTATAACAAACATATCTTGGACATCGAATGTCGAGTACAACTTCAAACACTTTTTCGTTTGGCAATGGGTAACTCAGGTCGTGGTAAACTCATACGGGAAGACTCGATGAATATTAGATTACCATCAGGAAAAATATAGCCAAGAGAGGGATTGCGTACATCAGGAATAGTCTATAGGTTAGATTCACACGATGTTGGAGTTAAGAGTCAACTGTATAACTTGATGATTTTTTGTCGTCCAGATTAAACTAAGGGATCCTTGATTTTGCGTGATTGGATAGTTGTTGTTCCTTAGAAGGGGTTGTACTGAATTATGGAAGTTCAGGAATAGTCTTTGGAAGGCAAATATACCGACTACAAAATGTCTCCCACATTCTCTCCCTGAACAGAAACGTTGAGATAAAAATGTTGTTATCGATGAATGTAACATTGAAGGAATACGTGCGTCGAGTAGAAGGATGATAACACTTGTACCTTTTTTGGTAGAAAAGTAACCCAGAATAACCCACTTAAGATCTCGAGGGTCAAATTTTTGATTAATTTAAATTTTATATTAAATACTAATTTTACTCTAAATCATCCTCAACGAAAACGTATTTAAAATGAAAACAACATCTTTCCAAAGCCCATCGTAATGGATCTCCAATAATCAAAACACCCATTTTAGGATAAAACCAAATATCCAAAAACACTAAAAACAATGGATATAACTCTATATACAAAAGCACTAAAAACATGGATAAACTTTATATTCAAAATAAATCTTTCGGTGACCGGCCAGGGAGACCAATTTTAATTGTATGTGGCGGGAACATAAAAACAAATCACGTTCCAGTGTTACCAAGTTTCCCTCAAGTTCATTGGGATTCATATACAAATTTACCGAGTACTGCCGCAAGACCCTAGTTCCGTATACGACTCCAACGAGTATCACCGTAAAATCCAAGCTCCGTATACGACTCAAACGAGTAACACCGCAAGCTTCCCAAACATTGGCTTGGTGACTACTCACTGTAAATTATGATGAGAACATTACAAATTCTCACTTAAACAACAACGATCAACCTATTGGTCTGACTTGGTGACTACTCACTAGAAATTATGAAGAGAACATTAAAATTTCTCATTTAAACAACAACGATCAACCTTTCGTCTGGAGTCCGACTCTATACAAGTTCACCTCAGCAATACCAAATGACATCAACAACTTATAGGTCTAGGAGTCCAATTCTACATGGGTCTACCTCCGTAATACCTAAAATGACATCAAATGACTCATATAACTATGAATATGATGCATTACAGTCTAATACATGATTTATCATTTGAGAAATCCTATTATTTAATATATATGTTTTGTTTTTCTCAAAATATTACGTTAGTCATACGATGCATTAGTCGTGACCCAGGTTGCACAAACCCCTAGACTCTCGTACAAGTTGGTTTTTGTTATTCTTTTGAGCTCGTAAAATCCAATGTAATTACACATAATTAAATACCAAGAGATTGGCATTATTATATAAAAAGTTGCTAGATTAAGCCGTAATTTGCATTCAACGTAAACATGGGTGTCACAACAATACACCCAAACGTTTTTCAAGAAATATCAGAAAAACACTATACATAGATTTGTTTTAAGTAGCACAGATAGAGGAGAAGCATTTTATTGGAGATCGCTAAAGTTGTCACTTTCACAACTTTTAGCCGAATTTCACGTCCAACAATCCCATTTCGTTGAGATATGGTTTTATAAACAACAAATGACTTACGCTTCATCTCATGTCAAAAATTAAGACCATCTAATTAAGTAGCAGTTAATACGTCACCTCTTTCATCAAAAAGACGTTCGTAATCAATTTTAGTTTTTCCGTTAGTACTTCCACGAAGTCTCTCTTTAACAGTATTTATCGTCACCATATGTTTATCTTCATATAAAATCACGAATTCGGTCTTTTAAAAATTGTAAAAACTAAAAGGAAAAAAACAAAATTAATTTTAATAAAACATGTATTACAAGAAACAACAAAAGGAAGAGTCGTTGAAGGCTGTAGACAATAAGACGGCAACTTAGACTTCCATTTTCTTTTATTTTTATTTTCATTTATTATTTTTATTTATTTATTATTTATATTAGAGTTGCATATTTTAGGAGTCAACTTTATTTGGCTCCATGGACCTTCTTCCCTCCTTCCTCAATCCTACTCCGTTCACTTATAACCTCCAAACCCTCCATACCTGTTTCACTCACTAAATCTTCCATTCTTCCATTCACAACAATACCACCATGGACGTCGCTGCAGCCATGGATTTCGACTTCAATTCTTCATCATACGGCGGCGCTAGTTACTACAATAGTGCTCCATCCAGCCCTACTCGTATGACGGAGTTCTATTGCCAATTCGACGAGTTGTTGATCTCCGCCGAAGCCAACCACACTAATTGTCTCGCCGCCGTTCCATTCGCGTGGGAGGAGAAACCTGGGGTTCCAAAGGGATTCACGGATTCATTTGAAGATGATTTTTCGTTTGATGTAAGTTGTCAATTCGGTAGGGATTTAGTGGCGCCGGCGGAAGATTTATTCGACGGCGGTGTAATCAAGACCGTTGATTCTACACCAGGACAGAAAGAGAAGAGGGTAGAGAGAGAAAGAGGAAGAGAGAGAGGGTTTTCTTCTTCTTCTCGTTTACCTTCGTCACGAAGTAGAAGAACAAGATCGTTGTCTCCACTTGGGGGCTCAGATTACCGGCGGGAACAACAACAACAACACCAACAACAACTACCGGCGGTTACCAATACAAAACCTCCGGCAGCTACAACTTCGTCTTCATCGGAAAATGCGTCAAGAAAATGGAGCTTTAAGGATCTATTCTTGTTCAGAAGTGCTTCAGATGGGAGAGCAATGGACCGAGACCCTTTGAAGAAATACTCAACCATCTCGAGAAAACACGATCAAGATTTCAGGAACTCGGCTGAGGCTGGATCAGTATCGAAGAGAAGAGGACGGGTTTCGGCACACGAGCAGCATTACAATTTGAATCGAGCTGTTTCGAATGACATGAAGAAGAAAACCTACTTGCCATACAGACATGGTATTCTGGGAGGATTGGCTTTCAATCCCTAAGAAGATACACAAAACTGTAAACTCGATGGCAGCAATCAAGAAAGTTCGATTTTGTTGGTTGAACTGAGTCATAGCAATTAATCTTGTATTCACTTTATTTTATGTATATATACATATATGTAATATATAGTTATCTGAGTATGTAATATGGATTCTATCAATCAATATTATCCTTAATTACTCTCTTAATCATTGTGTTTCTCCAAGCATTTTCTTGTTGCAACTTCCATCAATGGAGTACATTTCATGCATGGTGTCAAAAATCCAATCCCCAACCACAAGAGTGGTATCTGATTGGAGCTCAAACAGTCAAAAGTACCAGGAGGTCACAGGTTCAAATCCAAGGAGGAATAAAAATTCTCTTGTGACCATGGAGGTTCAAATGCAGTGACTCAAACTATTTGCAAAGCAGGTGGTCGTCCTGGGATTAGTCGGCTCGCATAACAGATTGAATATTCAGGTTAATAAAAAAATCCAATCCACCAAATCCCAACTTTTATTAAACACATTAGCATATGGGCAATTTTAAGCCATAGGTATAAATTTGAGTTGTATTTTATATCGACACCACCAAAAAGTGTTGGTGGGTCAACCGGACCTTTTTTATCCTGAAATTTACCTTGTTCAAAACCGAACTTGTAATCCAACATGTCCATTTTGCCGCTCATATATATAAATCATGGAAGAAGTCGATCAATGATCGAATCCCAAAATGCAAAAGCCAAAGCGAGGATGAATACGATCACTAGAGAACTGGTTGTTGAATTTGCGACACCAAGCTCACAAAGGGCTACTTCCGATGATGTAGGGAGGATCAGAGAGTTAACGGATCCTTGGAAAAGAAGAAGCCGAGCTCAAATCAAAGAAACCGAAAAACCCAGATCAAAGTCGCTTATAGGACTTCTCCTGCGGCTTAGGTCGCATACCAGGTCGAGGGCACGTCCTGAATGGTTGTATGCATATTTCTTTTATTTGTTTATTTAATTATTTTGTTTCTTAATTAATTTAGCAAAATTAGTTGTTAGTTTTAGTTATTATTTATTTGGTTTCTAATTAGATTAAGATTATTATTATTATTATTATTAGTTTACTTTTATTAATTATTTAAATCTTTTTTCTAGTCGGTTTATGATTACTTTAGGTTTAGTCATGGTTATCTTTAATCTTATTAATTAGTTTATAAATATGATATTTGTAAGCATTATAGAAAATCAGTTTTAAGTTTATTGTTGATCAATAAAATTACTTTTTTAGAGTCTTATCTCTAAAAGTTCTCTTAATTTTCCAAGTGCTAAGTTTGTAAACTCATTGTCCTTTTTAGGGCTTCGACACTAGTCAACCCTTTGGCAATTTCCTGCTGCGTCACCCAACCTTGATTCAACGGTGTAAATCACAGAGCAGGTCGTGGGGAAGGGCAAAGATGCGAGTAGCTACAACAACTACTTCGTGATGTAGACAAATTAGAAGTTCGTGAGCTAGATGAAACAAGTCGTGAGGCTCGTGTTTTGGGGATCCAGCGACCAAGCCGGTTGCCAGATGGTGATAGAATCATAAAATCAGGATTTTTGTGCTCAATGAGTGTAAGATCGATCATTTCATACATAGAGAAAACACTTTGGTGAACTCTTCTCTCCAAATTCGGAGTAGTTGGTTTAGTTGCTACCATTTGGATTCTTGTAATTGTTTTAAGTAACCATTTTGTTATAACCTACCAATTGTTACTTATATGTTACATCATCTTGGGTTAATTTGTTGGCAGGACATACACATTTGTGTCGCTACATTATTGTTTTATTTGTTTGGTATTTGCATTTTATTTGTCGGTTGTTTACACACATTTTAAGTATTTGAGACTTAATTTTATTATATTATTTTTGTTTGAGGTAGATGTGTAGTACTGTTTTTTTTTTAAATCAAGAAAACATATGAATAGTTGGTTAAAGATGTAGATTAATTGGTTGGAAATTGGAGGTCTTGGGTGTTAAGATGTATGTGACCGCCAAAGTCTCAGTTATGGTTAACGGGTCCCCGACCAAAGAGTTTTTGATGGAAAATGGAGTGATGCAAGGAGATCCCATTGCCCCTTTCTGTTCATTTTGGCCGCCGAGGGGCTGAAAACTATGATGGAGAAGGTTGTTCACAAGGGTTTGTTTCGAGTGTTTCGTTCCCTAACAGAAACATTCAGAAAATCAGATTGATGTTGGATAGAAAATTGATGTTCAAGGTGGAGTGTCTGAGAGTTCTTATTGTCCTGAAATCTAGTCTTCAAGTGATTACAAGCAGATTGCGCATTGGAATCTAGCCCTAATATGGCATGGAGAAGATTGGTAGAAATCGTCCCGTAGATCCATTGGAGCACGATTGCCTCCAGTCTTGTCCACAAATCGAGATCCATGAAGTCATCTCGAGTAGGTTGATCATGGGGATCTAGTGCATGATTATGGGGATGTGATTGAGCATCCGTTAATACAGTAGATAACCAGTAGTAATATTAATTAACTTAATGGATGGAACCCATACACCCTAGTCATCTATTTGATCGGTTGTCCAATATTAATTGTATTGAATCGGATGACAAGATTCAATGTCCAATGGATGATTGGACCAAATTGTAGAGGTTGGTTTATCATACAATCTATCATATTTGTACACAGAGACGGACTCAGAAAAATTTTCAAACGGTGGCACCATATAATTAATATAGTATAATATACATCTAAAAATAATTACAAAAAATATAGTTTTTATAGTACCGATAGGGTTGTAAACAAACCGAATGTTCAGCAAACCGTTCGTGAACCGTCGGCGGTAAGTTCGTTTATGTTCGTTTATTTAATAAATGAACGAACATGAACTATTTTCTTTTGTTCGTTTAGTTAAATGAACGAACATGAACAAGATTCTCGTTTGTTCATTAATATTCGTGAACGTTCGTTCATTTACCGTTCGTTTATATTCGTTTGTTTATGTTCGTTTATATATTATCTTTTATTTATTTACTTTGAATTCAAATAATATTTTTTTATGTTCGTTTAACTCATTCGTTTATGTTCGTTTGCTTACGTTCGTTTAACATGTTTACGAACGAACATAAACGAACACGAACACACCTTATTTCTAAACGAACGAACACGAACACAAAGATTTTCGTTCGTTTACGTTTGTTTAGCATGTTTACGAACGAACATAAACGAACACGAACACACCTTATTTCTAAACGAACGAACACGAACACAAAGATTTTCGTTCGTTTACCGTTCGTGTTCGTTCGTTTGTTCAGTTAAGTTAAACGAACGAACATGAACAAGTCTCCGTTCGTGTTCGTTTACAGCCCTAAGTACCGATAAACAACTCCTAAACTTGTACCCGATGCGTCTTCATCTTTTGAAAACGGTCAATATATACACAAAAATAATTACAAAAAGTATGGTTTTGGTTATTTGGACTTTGTTTTGTTTGGGTTTTAGTTGCACCATTTGGATTTCAGGGAAATACGGTAGCACCTTCTAAAACGATACGGTAGCACCTTCTAAAATGATACGGTAGCACCGTTAACAAACCTAAATTTTTTACCCTTCGGTCGCGAAATAATACGGTGGCACGTGCCACCCATGCCACCCTATTAGGTCCGTCCATGTTTGTACAACCATTGCAACTCAATCTCAACCATCTATTTGATCTAGTGAATATGTGGTTTCATAAATATTTCAATTGTTTCATAATATAAAAAGTTGATCATAATTAATGAACTTTAATCATCTTTTATAAATATCTAAATCATAATAAATAAACCTTATCATTTCTATAAATATCTCAATTGATTAAGTTGCATTTTAAACATCCTCTCAAATTATATATATATATATATATATACACTTAAATTCTTCGGATTCTAACATATGAAAGTCCCTTCATAAATAAATTCTAATAGTCCTAAATACATTAGTTTATAGAGTTTTAACTGATTTAGCTTTAGATGTTCGTAAAACAATGGGAGCTCACCATCATTTCATGAAAAGATATCGAAAGGAACATATTCTATCTTTTATTAATTATTTTTTAATATAAATAGCATAAAATTAAATCAAGGGTTTCCAAAACTAAGTGCCATCTTAGATAGGGATTTTTAATATTTATAAATTTTGTTTTTGTCAAATCTACCAAAATAGCATTATTTTTTATGTGATTTGGTATTGTATCAAGTTTTTTTTTCTAGTTCTGTATGCCAATTAATTATAATTGACAAATAAATCATACATCATGTACTAGGGTTGGGTTCACGTGAGACCAAAGGTTTTTCGTGAGACTCGTAAGACCAATTTATGTTCATTGATCAACTAATGATCTAATGGTCTAAAGTTGCACGATGACAATTTTGTAATTATTGAGAAGTCTCGTGGCAAATTTGTAATTATGAATGTTCAAATTGTAAATCTAATTCAAGGGTTGAGAATTGGTTTTACGGGTCTCACGAAAAACCCTTCGTCTCACGTGATCCCAAGTCTCATGTACTAATCAAATATATACTTTGTACCAACTTAATTGATGTCATCTTTTTTTGGGTTGAAACTTGTTATGTACCAACTTCAAGTTACATATATAAAAGCTGGTAAATTCGTTCAAATTTTGAGTTCTTTTTCTTTAAAAAAAAAAAGGTGGCACTCCTGACAAATGAAATAGAACGAACAAAAAAGTACACGTAAAAGTCCAAGGACTCCCTCCCAATGAGTAACTCCACTCACTGATCACGAGATAACACATGTCATGTTTAATGAATTTTTAATTGCAAGGAGTAAAAATTACAGACATTTAAATTCTCGAACAAAAAAAGTTGAATTTATGATGTCTAATATTCAATACCTCAAAATTACAAAAAATAATAGATGATTAAATAAGTCGGTATCATGGTACTACTGTGTTACGAGACTTCTACGACTGTGCATTTACCAAAGCAAGTTTTCATATTTGGTATGATACTACCACCAATTATAATTGATAGCGATTAAATTTTTACGATTAGTACATTTAAATGTTGGTCAGTTTGGTTTTGTACTAACAGTTGTAGGAACTGAAAAGCCACCATTAAGTTATAATTGGGTGTATATGGTCAATAAAACCATTGATGGTTCAATACGAATATTTAAATCTAACCTTATTTCTAATGATTTATATATATCTGTATGTAC